ATCTGGACAGCACCGGGAAGGTTAGAGGTTCCAATGGGATTGTTGGTCTTCCTTACAGTGCTGCTCAAGTATTAGGCCTGCCATCTCAAATGAGGGGTCAAAACTGCTTTGTTGAAGTGACCCTTGGTTGCAATGACCAGACGTTGCAAAAAGATGACAACTCACATAGTGACTTTTCTCAGCCTCATGGTACCGAGTCTCTAGCTGCAGGACTAGGTACGCAGAGGTGGCCTTCAACAAAGCCCCCAGTTACTGAACAGATGTTTGTTTATCCGGCTGAGGCTGTCCTTGTTCCAGTTTTCCAGACATCTTTTGCTAGATCGTCTTTGAAGAGGTAATATTTTGATGGATGAAGTAAGATAAGAATGTATTGCTTGGCCTTTTAGTAATGCTGAGATATTTATTTTATGTAGAAGTTTGGTAGATTTATTTTCTTTCCGTATTAATATGGTCTACTTTTTTGGTCTTAGTTCTGGGACTACGAGACATGGTTCATGTTGTTTTGATGTTATTCCTTTAATAAGTAATATGGCTAGACTGTGTGAGATAAATGAAATGGGCAGGGGAGAGAATATGACGCTCTTCTCACCTTGGATCTCCTGCTTTTCCTTTCACATATTTCCGTTCGTTTCTTTTGTTAGCACTACCACATATATGTTGATCTATGTTAATAGATTAGTTTGAGATGACTTATCACCTGTCTTGCTGATTAAATGTGCCAGATATAAGGCTAATGAGCAGTGATTAGCTATTCATATGGCTTTCTTAGTTTCTGGAGATCACCATGATTAGCGTTATCTGGATTTTAATTTACATACCAAAATAGCCCTTATTTATGCATCAAGTGAATGTACTTTTAGTAATTAAAGCACCGATGTTTTCTGGATGTGCTATTGGCATAAAACAAATGGATTGGTAAGTTTCACGTGAAGTTTTTGGAGATTCATCAATTAATTTGTGTCCTTACAGATGCTTTATGAACAGTTAACTGACCCGACATTTATCTAATCTTCAGATTTTGGCTGCAAAACTGGGTTGGTCCATCATTGACGGGTTCATCGCTTTTCATGCATTGGTCAGTTGAAGAGTTCCTCATCGATTTCCATCCAATGTATCATTCTCATGTGTTGTGTATGTCTGAGTTTTGTTCATTCACCTAGCTTTCACTTTTACAGTGATGACAAGCTAGATTCAAGGGGTGGATCTTCATTTGAACCCAGTGGAACATATCGCAGCAGTAGTAACAGTAACAGCAGTAGCAATTGCACCATAAGTAGTTCTTCAAGTGACAGTGATAACAATACCTTGGGTACTGGTGATCTAGACGCAGATGCAGATTCTTTGATGTCCAGACAGTCTGGTCTATCATCATTGGGTCAAATGCAGAATGATGGCCGCCAATTGGTAATTACTGTTTTAGTAATTAAGGATCTGACAAATGGAGGAATGTTTGAATGTCAGGATGATACTGAGCTTGGTCCAACTTGCCTTTGTATTAATAAAACCACTCAATTTCTATTGCCTTAACTTTAACCATAACGAGTCCGTTACCATATCTAAGCATCCTTGGTTCCTTGAAATTGCCTTAGCATCTTGCTATTTAACTGCAAACCCCAAATCTGTTTTAACATTTCCGAGAGAGCTTGCATATGAGTAGCTGGATCTGCATTCCTTTTCTCTTGTTCTGTTGAAGGTCATGATTTCCTTCATTTTTCCCCTTTTTTGTCATTCTTCTCAAGTTGGGAGCTAGTGGCTGTATTTTTATGTCCCAGGCCAACGGTGATGTTTTAAGCTGGAGCCAGTTTCATAGGAATTATGTTATTTACGTCTAGTTTGATCTTTGATTTTATTACTGCTTACCAGGCCACTCATTTTATCTATTTGTCAGGGTTCTAAAAGGCCACGGATTGCGACATCTGAGTCTTTTGGTCAAGGAGGCATGGTTTTAAATCCTTCCATGACTGATTACGGTACAATGGAAGTCAACAATATTTCCTCCAGTGGGGTTGCAAATGAACAGATAGGTCCCGAATGGGGATGGGATGATGATAGAGGCTCAGGAATGGATATTCAAGCGTTGCTGTCAGAGTTTGGTGATTTTGGTGATTTCTTTTTGAACGATGCTTTGCCTTTTGGCGAGGTAATCCGTATACTATACCCCCATTGTCATTAAGTAATCTCTCTTGAACACTGTAAAAGCGGATGGTGAAGGGACTTCTCTTTGGTCATAATTGATAATTCTCTTTAATTTCAAACTAAATCTCCCACCCATGGTTGTATATTCAAATTGACCTTAAATTTTGCTGAAAAATGTGTTTTGTTTTGAAGAACCACGTAACCTTCTTTTAATTCCTATGTAAATGTTAAAGAAGAGGTAAATCCCGAACTGCTTATTGAGGATGGATTATTTTGGGTACTTTTAGAGCTAGGAAGATTTCTTGACTACAAAGATGTTTGAATAAAGGGGTTAGAAGTGCATTTGTTAAGTATACTGAAACTATATAACTGACGAGTCAGTTGTGTTAGTAACTTTCATTTTCACAGAAAGGGGTTAGAAGAACAAAAGAAGTACATTTATTAAATATAACGAATCCGTGACTTATGCATCATTGATTCATTGTCTAGGTAAACTTCCTGCAACTTAACCGTTTTTGCATCCTGTCACCTCAAGCCTTGATTTATTATGAAATATCCATATCTGTTTCCGCTTGTAACTGACAGCTGTTGTAAGAAGAAACGCTGTTCGTTTCCATATTGATTGTATAGGTGTAACTATGGAGACGATGTTTTAGAAAATGATAGTCTATATTTTGGAGTTTATGTGAAAAGCATGACAATTCCATGATATTATTATCTGAAATTCTTCAAAAATAATTGATATACTTACCTGTGCTATTAGGATAGTCTTTCCCCATCTTCTGTGGGCTCTTGATATCCCATTGGCGGCAGCTTTATATTGACCTACATTTAGTCTTTTCAACCGTTGTTATTTCTGTCTGGGGGTTAAGCTCTCTGTAAGATTATCTGTTATAAATTTGTCTTGGGTTATTATGTCTTCTTTTGAATGTATAATCAATCTACAGTTCATATCAATACTTTCGCTTTTGTTATTTGATGAAGCCTCCAGGAGATGCTGAGTCTCAAGCTCCCATGTTTCCTGCACCTGAAGGTGGAGATCTGTGTAGCAGTCCAAGCAACTCTGTGATGGATGTGTCAGACCAGATGCTTCTACCTGTAGCTTTTCCAACTCTAGATAGCTTTAACCACCTGCAGGCTGCTGCCTCTGTGGAAGATTTGACAAGCAAAAATCAAGAAGCCCTGAAGAATACTGCGTCTGGTCAAGTTACCTCCACTCTTCCATCTGTCAACCGTGAGTTCGATCATGTTGTAAAGGCTGAGGCATTGATGACATTTGCTCCAGAATATGGGTGTGTAGAAGCCCCCAGGAATGACATTTCCTCTGTCATTATTCGAAGTCCTTATGTTCCAAAATCTTGCAAAGTGGACTCTGCATCGAGTTCAAACAATTATGTATATTCTGCTACACCACCTTCTTCTCCTTGCTGTGATGGATCTGATGAGAAGTTGCCTACAAGTTTGAAAGCACGTACAGAGAAAAATGATGCCAGTTCCCTTTTAAGATCAAAAAACTATTACACCCATGTTGATTGTGGGAAAAAGCAATATAGTGGAACTAACAATGGCTTTTCTAAAGCTGAGGCTGGAGGGGCATCATCACAATTTAAAAAAACTGGCAATGCGGTTTCAACTAAAGCTGCTGAAGTCTCGCTGAGAGAAGATACTTTTCTTCCATCTTCAAGAACTGTCCTTGCAACAGGTATTGAGTGCCTTGTATGCCAGGCTTCCATGTGCAGGCTTCGACATACACTGCTGTCGCCTAGCAACCTATCACTTTCTGGCTTGAGTGGATTGCCTGGAAATAGCACACCCAGTCAGATCCATGCAGATTCTAGCACTATTATGGACAGCATGTCAAGCAGATCCGAGTTTAAAAAGAAAGAAATCATCCCTGCTCGGTTAGCTGGTGATATAGATGGAGGAATGCGAGAGCCTTTGACTGCTCCTGTTGGTGTCTGGCGATCTGTTGGTATCCCAAAATCTACCAAAACAAGTACTTCCACCATGGAAGTTGGCCATTCCATGCCAAATAATTCATTCATAGAAGAAAACATACTTTCTTATGGGCTTCGCCAACCACTTCATGAACTTCTTGATAGCTTTGCATTGCTTGTCCAGCAAGCAGCTTCATTTGTTGATGTGGCTCTGGATTCAGACTGTAGTGATGGTCCTTATTGTTGGCTTGCGCTTCAAGAGCAGAAGAATCGTGGATTTTCCTGTGGACCTTCCATGGTGCATGCTGGTTGTGGGGGACTTCTGGCTTCTTGTCATTCCCTGGATATTGCTGGCGTGGAACTTGTTGACCCGCTGTCAGCCGATGTGAGCTTCTATCATCTTTGGAGTTTGATCCTCCACTATTGGCATTTGGTTGACATATTCAAAATACTAAATCGATGTTATGATTTTTTTTTGTTTCTTTTTATGTTTATTATGTAGATGAATGACACTGTGTCTTCTTGGCATTAGGATGCATTTTGTAAGTATGTCGAGGCAATGTATCTAAAGAAACAGTTCTTATGGTAGTTTGTTGTCATTTTCAGGTTCTTGCATCTTTAACCATTAGTTTGCTCCAGTCAGACATAAAAGCAGCCCTAAAATCTGCGTTCAGCAATGTAGATGGTCCTCTATCTGTAACTGATTGGTGTAGGGGCCGTAGTGCATCCATTGACTCAGGAATGGCTTGTGATGGAGTTTCTGTAGAGTCCATTGCAAGTGCAAGTGAATGTCGTGATTCAGTTACCGTTTCCGTTGGGGAAGCCATGAGTCCATCTTTGGCATCTGCTGGTGGAGGGTCTGGCCTTAAAAGTAAGATTGTCTTTCTGATTATAGTCCAATGATTGGTTAACCTTATTTTGCCCGTTGAATGTTAATTCTGTTTCTATTACACAGCTGATGGAGCTAGGATGGACGAGTCAGCCACTTCCACATCAGAATTGGATCAGCAACAATGCTCACGCATCCGGCCCACACTTTCAGTTGTTCCATTTCCTTCCATACTTGTTGGGTACACATCAATACTTCGTCATTAATGATTTCTGTAATAGGTCGACGTTGGGCTTAATTTGGTTTCTCTTGTCCATGTACCTCTTCGAGGAGTTAGATAATGAAAACATTGCAGTTGTTACATCTTGTTCACTTGGTTGGTTGGATATTACAGTTTTATGTCTTTGGGGCTTCGTTGATTGGATATTTATACATATAACTTATAAGTCAATAATAAATCTTACATGCCAATGACATGCCCATCATGGTGGTTTTGTTAATTCTGAGTTATTCATGATGACTTAAGCTATTGGATTAACAACGTTCATTTTTAGGCTACTGTTGGAGTATGGGTGTTTTTACTTCTATGTAATAGATATTCAATTATTGCTGCGCTAGGTACCAAGATGATTGGCTTAAAACTTCAGCTAGTTCTTTACATGTATGGGAGAAAGCTCCTCTTGAACCATATGCGACTGCAAAACATGTAAGTTTCGTTTAGTGTAGCTGATGAACTTTAGTTTTGCCTCTTCTGCATCCACTTTCACTTTGATATATGACTTATATACATTGTTTCCTCCTCCCTCTTCTTTATCCCCCCTTCTTTGCTCTGGCAGATGAGCTACTATGTTGTCTGTCCAAATATTGATCCACTAATATCGGCTGCTGGTGATTTTTTCTTGCAACTTGGAACAGGTTAGTGCCATTGATTAATATTGATAATCTGAATATTCCAATGATTTTGTGTGAGCATCGAATGTAATGTGTGATTCTTTTTTTGGTAATGATAATCATAATATATGTGGTATTAGATATATCCAGAAAAATGTCAGTATGGTATGGCTTCATTTATGTGTGTATATGTGATGAAGCAGAATTATCAACATATTATGGGATACTACTACTCGTATCTTTAATTCGGTTGGGATTAAGCTATTTTTCTGGAGTTTTAAGATCTTGTTGACATCTCAATTCTGTAAATATTTATACAAAGAATAACTTGATTGAGGTTGTTTTCCCGTTTTAAGGAATAATACTTTCCGGTCCGAGGGGAATTATTTATAGTTATTGACAAGTCCTTGGATGTAGTTATTACTTGCGAGTGTCACCTCTACATCAGCAGGCTCATTATCATTGAATTTATTCTGTTACACATTTTAGATATCAAGAAAAGTGTTGATAAGTTTTCTGAGTCTTGTGACATATTGTGGTGTTCTCTAATCCCAGTTTATGAAACCTGCAAGCTGGGAACTCATGCACCCCAAAGCCTTGGAAACGAGATGGAGATAGATTCTGGAAAAATATCGCCTGGTTTTGTCTTTCTCGATTGCCCTCAATCAGTGAAGATAGACAGTAATAATGCATCTATGTTGGGATCAATCAGTGATTATTTTCTTTGTCTATCTAATGGTTGGGATCTGACTAGTTACCTAAAGACTCTCTCTAAGGCTCTTAAGACCTTGAAGCTTGGTTCATCTGTGAGTATGAACACAAAGGAAGGAAATGGCGGGCAGTGTACGGTGCGTTGTCAATTTCATTATATTTCTTTTTCGTTTCTTGGTGAATTATACCTATATTTTTTTTTTTCATCTACCCAGTGCTGATATTAAGAGCATCTCCAATGCTCCACTTTGAACATTAATTAAATTTGAACACATGTCAAATGATGAATGGAATGTCAAAAGAGAAGACTTTAACTTGGAATGCACATCTCCAATGCATCCCTTTCAAAAGCTTAAAATAGGTTAGATTTTTGATGAGTTGGCTTTCAAACACTCTTTGGAAAACTAGAAAGTGGGCTTCACACTTTGGATGTTTATTGTCTCCATGTCAGCATAAAAGAGTCCATAACATTATGGATTGGAGATTAATTTTTGTTTTCACTTTATAACTTGATGATGTGGCTAACATTTTATTAAGTCAACATCTCACGTTGGAGATGCTCTAAATAAACTGACATGCTCTTTCAGTGTTTAATACTGTTAAATCAATAAAAGTCGACCTTCTTATATTCAAAAGCTATTGGCTATGCAGCTGATATAGCGAAAGATGTGTGGTTATTATATAAACATCCTACGCTGCCGTCTGTCATGGTTTTGTTATACTTGTAATTCTTCAGCTCAGCTTATAATTTTATTGAATGTTCATATTCATTAAAGTTTGTAAGACATCAATGTTTCAGCACTTCAACTCTCCAAAATCCTTAAGATCATTTTGAAGTTCAAAATTTTCTTTTATCACATAACATAAATCTTCCTTCTTATGGAATCTTTTAGGTAGTCTACGTGGTGTGCCCCTTCCCCGAGCCTCTTGCAGTTCTACAGACAGTGGTCGAATCTTCTGTTGCAATAGGATCAGTTATTCGGTCTTCGGACAGAGAACGGAGAACCATGCTACACAATCAAGTGGCAAAAGCCCTGAGCTACCCATCTGCCGTTGACGAGTCCTTTTCAAACGTTTTGACTCTCACTGGATTCAGCATCCCGAAGCTGGTACTCCAGATCGTGACCGTTGATGCCATTTTCAGGGTCACTAGCCCCTCCCTCAACGAGCTCGTCATCTTGAAGGAAATCGCTTTCACTGTTTACAATAAAGCTCGCCGAATTTCACGTGGGCCCCCCGGTGAGACAACAACGATGACATCATCCTCATTGGTGCAGGAAAGATCTCATTCGGTCGTGATGCCAATGACTTCACCTGTTCCTGGTATGTGGAAGGATTGTGCTGGCCCCCGAATGATGGGCCCACCTCTTCAGAGAGAGAGTGATCTCGATGCAATGAGACAAGGTTCTTGGGATAACTCGTGGCAGAACGCAAGGGATTCGAACAAAACAACTGGAGATAGTTTCCCGCAAAACGATATCCGTTGTCTATTCGAGCCGCTTTTTATACTGGCAGAGCCCGGTTCCTTAGATCGTGGACTTTCTCCCTTTGTGGTGACAAATCCAGCCGATCCATCAAAGCCGTTATCTGATGATTGTGTTAGCACGAGCTTTGTGCAGAGTTCTACTTCAGGGAGTGGAGATAACAATGGGTCCGCTTCTCAGCACGACTCCACGGATTCAGATAGTTTTGGGTCGGGCAATCGGAAGCTGCTTCCGAGCCTGCATTGTTGTTACGGGTGGACTGAGGACTGGCGCTGGATGGTGTGTATATGGACGGACTCGAGAGGGGAGTTACTCGATAGTTATGTGTACCCCTTTGGTGGAGTCAGTAGCCGGCAGGATACAAAGGGCCTGCAGTCTATTTTTATCCAAATATTGCAACAGGGGTGCCAGATTCTTCAGTCGTGTTCTCCTGATCTTAATAATGTGAAGCCTAGGGATCTTGTTATTACGCGTATCGGATGCTTTTTTGAGCTGGAGTGCCAAGGTATAGTTAGTCCTTTATTTTCTGTTGTTCCTTTCAACCCTTCTGTATGTACACACTTCTTCCAAATTTTGTATATCAGTATTGACCCTAGATTTTCTTCAGAATTTTTACATCAACAACCCCTCAATTTTATACAAGATGGATGAAAAAGGTTGGGGCTATTTGAATATTTTTGAAAAGCGAAGGGATGTAATTGTATAGAAATGGCGATATGAGAGAAAATATGTCTGAAATGTTGGACTCAAATCTCGATGATGGTTTATTTAACCTTTTTTTTTTTTTTAATAATAAATTACCTCAAACCTTGTGTTAGTTTTCTTCAATTTTTGCAGGGTCATCATAATTAGCAGTGTTTGTGCATATGAAATTTGTTCACTTTTAGTTTAGATGATAGAGTTCTCCTAAAACACCATTTTCTATGTATTGATATTTGACAAAACACGTATTTTCTTTGCCAGAGTGGCAGAAGGCTCTGTACTCGGCCTGGGGTCCGGAAGTGAAAAAGTGGTCCTTACAGCTCAGGCGATCTGCCCCTGATGGAGTCCCCGCTGCTAGCAACGGGAACCCTTTGCAGCAGCAAGAGATGAATATGATGCAAGAGAGAGTAATACCTTCTTCACCAAGTCCATTGTATAGCTCCCATTCTAAAGGGTCGAGCGGATTCATGAAAGGTGGACAAAATTCGTCCAGGAAGCAGATAATGAGTGGGCATTCAGCTGTGGACAACTCAAAGGGCTTACTGCACTGGGTGCAGAGCATCAGTTTTGTGTGCGTCTCGATTGACCATTCCTTGCAACTCGTGTACCAAGCGGATTCAAATTCTCCTGGTACGCTTTTGTCTACTTCTAAAGTGTACACGTCTGCCATAAAAATCCGATTTATCATGTTTTCCTTTCCATTTTATATTGCCATTAACTACCGAAATCACTAAAACTTGGTACAAATTTCGAGTTAGGAAAGAGTTTCGATTTGGCAAAAGCTAATAATAATCACCTCCATTGGATGAACCACTTCTGCGTTTGAGAAAGAAAAATCGTTATGACACTTTGTATTGTCCTACTGTTCCAATCAAAGTTTTCCCTCCGGAGTCAAATAAACCGATTGTTTTTTAAGAAGGGTGTATCATTTGAGATTTCTAAGCACCTTTTAAGATTTTAGAAATTCCGGTGTACTTAACTTAGATTTTTTATTTTAACTTTTTAAGACTTTTAAAAGTCTCAAGTATTCATTTGAGATTCTAAAGAGTCTTATAAAATCCTGAGGTATAGAGACTAGGATTTGTTGGACTTTTTAAGATTTGCTGAGATTCCGAAAGACAAAAACCATATATGTAATCGCACTACAAATCTCACTCCAGATTTAACATTTCATAGGATTCCTCCTAAATCTGAAAAATCTCAAAGTCTTAAAATGTCAGTTAAAATTCCAAACGAATAAACATATATATATATATATATTTTAATACGAATCGAAAGATCTCCTTGCTACGTTCCNCAAAAAAAAAAAAAACTAGTTTATTTTATCCATATTTTTTCCCACCCCTACAGGAACAAGCCAAGGCAGCAGCACCACCGCCACGTCAGCACAGTCGATCAGCTACCTGGAGGGATACACCCCCGTCAAATCCCTCGGCTCCACCCCTTCTTCCTACATCCTCATCCCTTCCCCAACCACCCGCTTCCTTCCCCCTCCTTCCCTTCAGCTCCCCACTGTCCTCACCGCCAGCTCACCACCCTTAGCCCACCTCCTCCACAGCCGGGGCTCTGCCGCCCCTCTCTCCACGGGCTTCGCCGTCTCACGGGCCGTCCCCTCGGCCCGTAGGGCCCACACCACCCGAGACGAGTGGCCCTCCGTCCTCTCTGTCAGCCTCGTCGATTATTACGGCGGCAGCAGCCACGATAAGCCGCCTCCGCCGCCACCTCCGGCGGCCGGAAAAAGTGGCGGCAAGGCGGCGGTGAAGGAATTGGAGGCGGAGACTTGTTCGGTGATGGAGTCTGTGGCGGCTGAGCTGCATGCTTTGTCGTGGATGACGGTGAGCCCGGCGTATTTGGAACGGAGGTCCGCTCTGCCGTTTCACTGTGACATGGTCCTCAGGCTAAGGAGGCTGCTCCACTTTGCGGATAAGGGCGTGCTGAGGAATCGTGATCGTGTGAATAAGTANATGATACAGATGAGGGGATATAATGTGGGAAGTAGAAATGTACACATTGATTACTTGATTTATTATTATGTCTTCTTCTTCCTTATATAATTTGGCATGAGCAGGTTAACTTTGTTTGAAGGATTAGTGATACAAAGTTTGTGCTGAGTTCAGTGCAGCAACTCAGACGAGTCTGTTTGTTAACATGAGCAATGCAGTTTATTGAACGTGTCATCGATGAATTGATATATGTAGATGGGTTGTTGATGGCTCTATAGAACGTGTCAGTCTGAATGCTTCTGTGATTGAACATTATTGTTTTATAGCAAAGCTGATGAGTAATGGGGTTATAATTTATGTGATTGAACACATTCTTCTTAATTTGTCTTTGAGGAAATAAGGCCAGTAATGGGAGTATGATTGGTGACTGCTTGGCCAATGGATATATATGTTATTTTGTCAAACAAATCTTTTTTGGTTCTTAAAAAGGATGTACGATGCAAAATAGGTTTCGATCACCATCAACTTTGAAGACATAAATGGAGAAATAAAGCATGTTTGTATATAGATAATATGGTGGATCCACGCATTGAATATGTGTCTCTACATTTCTGAATTTCATAGAAATTTCCCTAAAATTACCGATAAAATCACTTGAAATTCATGGCAAGGGAGTGTCTTCGTATGTGCCCATGACATCCTTTACTGAGATTTAGCGGTTCTACACAAGTTTTGAGAGCAAAATTACTAAGTTATGCCAAGCTTTATGGTTCCTCACAAAATGAACGTCTGTGGCATCCTAATAGTTATATGGATTGATCCGTCATATTTATTCAAGAAAAATCCTACTAAATACATACTTGTTGTGAAGTGTCTGTAGTTTTATTCATGTTATTTTTTAGATTGTTGTCTAATTGTTAATTTTTTTAACAATAATCTTACTTAAGTTTATATGAAAATGTAGTTGATAAATGAATTTGAAGCACGATTGATGATTTAACTTAGTTTGTATAGTAAAAGTATTTAATAAAATTAATTGATAAGGTAGTTGACATAATATTTTTATGGACCTTTTTGAAATTCTATTTAAACAAATATTTGGATTAAGATTGAGCATTTTGATAACTTGTAGGTATTAACTATTTTATTCAAAAAATTATAAACTCCTTAAATACACTATTAGTTAGCTTATACTAATTACCATATACGCTATCTTGGGCCGGGCTCAATACTACTAGTTTGTGCATAATGGTCAGCCGAACCGGGCCTACAGCCCAGCAGGATACTCTAAACTAGAAAGGAAAGGTTTGAACCGTCCGATTTTGAACGTAATTAGTAAATATGGGTGCCTGCACCTTTGATTGATCAAACTTCCATATAAGGATATTCCAACATAAATATTTGATATTTTTCCATAACTATAACTATATATAAGAACAGACTCGAAATTTTTCATTGGCGCCATCCGTAGCGGCTTACAGTTTCAGGGTTTCTCTTCACCATTGAAAGATTTTCTCTCTCATCTCCCTGTGTGTATTACGGTGTGTATGATTATTGTGTGGATCGTAGTGTGTGTGCGTGTTCTCTAAATCGATTCGATTACCGGAGTTATCAATTTTTTATTATTATTTTATTTTGTAGGTTTAGCTGATTCGTTCTCTTTTTTATTGGAGATTGATTGTGTACAAAGGAGATATTTGATTCTATCTTTTGAATTTTTGTTGTTTGTTTTGCTTCCTGGCCTGGATTTTCTATTTATTATTATTATTTTTGTGTGTGTGTGTGTGTGTTTTGATGTGTTAAAATCCCTAACTGGCAAAATTTGGAACTCCGTTCGAGCAATTTTCCTGATTTTGGGGAAGAAAGGAATGATTTTGGCAGTCATTGAGATTTTCTGAAAAACAGAGCAGCTCGATTTTATCAATATCATATTGTATTGATTTATTTTTCTGAAAAACAGGTTTATTAGCTCGATTTTCATGACTTCTCTCTCTCACGTATGCCACTCTGTAGAAGTCTCTTGAGACATTCATACAAGGAGAACTTTATGAGAACATATTGTTTCTGAGATAATTTTCACGGGATCTGTCTATTAATTTTGTGATAATTATGCATTTGCTTGTATGAAATATGTATTTGCATCTATTTAAGTAATATGGCTATTGAATAGGAGCTGTCAAAACATGCGCATTACATCACGTGGAAAATATATACTGAATGTATGCAGTGCGGGATTTTATTTAGGCTATGTTCGGTAAATCTAGCTGATAAGCTAATTTATAGCTTTTAAGTAAATTTCGAGCTTATAGCCGATAGCTTATGACTTATGGCTAAACTAACCAAATAAGCTATAACTATAAGCTATAAGCTAGCTTATTTGGTTACCAAACATAGCCTAAGTTTGCGTTTTTACAAGCTTTACCTAGATTTACTCATTTACCTCGAAGTTACAGAATCATTCACTTTTTGGAATGTTTAAGATCTCACCAAGTTTGTTTGAAGTTCCGAACTTGTACAGTAATACCAATAAAAGCAGTTTGGTTGATGTTTTTTCTTGAAGTCATAACTAAATTCTCTATCATTAGTCTAATGAAGACTTACTACTATTGCAGGATTGACATCATAACACAAAGTTTATTGAAGTCAGATTCAGTGGCAAAAGAAGTTTCTTTCCATAGGAGAAGATGACAAAGAATTCCAAGGTCAAGTGTAAAAGTTTCTCAAATATGGAACTTAGCAAAGAAAGGAACAGTTCAAAAGTTTCTTTACAAGTTGTACCCATGAAGGTTTGTGCCCTTTCATTGTCTTGTTATGTTCTTAAAATTAGTTTGATAAGCTAGCTATCGATAAGTGTTCTTCGAGCTTATAGCTTATGACTTATAGTTAAATAACTAGCTTATATGATAAAGTGTTTTGTAAAATTAGGTGATAAGCTAGTTGAAATAAAAAATTCAACGAGCTTATTTGAACAACTACCCAAATAAGCTTATGAGATAAGCTCGAGCTTTGTCCTACCAAACGAAATATATTTAAATACAGGAAGCTTATAAATTAGCCAAATAAGCTATAAGCTAGTTTATTTGGTTACCAAACATAGCCTAAGAATGTCCCTCGAAATTTAGGTTGGGAAATAAGATCGTTCTGCATGAAATTTGACATTTTAAGTACCTCGTTCCGTATACTAAGAAAAGAATTGTGAACACACACGAAAAGGGAAAGAACTTGTAAAACCATTTTTTCCCGTCATTTCCTAATCTTTTCTATTCAACCCTCATTAGGAACATTTATATATATGCAACTGCTGTTATGAATCATCACATTTTGCTTTTTTATTTTTATTTATTTATCTTTTTTCCCTTTTTCGTAATATATATTAGCTTTGTGTTGGTCTGATAGAGTTTTCCTTCTGATGGCCAGGGTACGGAGTCGATAAATTCAGGGTCTGGAAATATACCATTTATAAGGAAGTGCAGTTCAGTGATAAAACTCAACAGAAAGCAAAGAGATGTTGAGAAATCTACAGGTCCTGAGAACAACGGTTATTCACGAATGTAAAGTTTCACATTTCACTTACCACTATTATAAATTTATAACCTCATCACTTATTTAAGTGTT